AAAAAAAACATGAAAAAGTCATAGTATAGTAAGTCATAAAAAGTCATGAAAAGTCATATTAAGGTTTGAAAAGTCATAGCATAGTAAGGCAAGTCAGAAAAAGTCATAGTATAGTGAGGCATTAAAAGTCAGTATAGTAAGGTATAAAAAGTCATAGTATAGTAAGGCATAAAAAGTCATGAAAAAGTCATAGTATAGTGAGGCATAAAAAGTCATGAAAAGTCATATTAAGGTTTGAAAAGTCATAGCATAGTAAGGCAAGTCAGAAAAAGTCATAGTATAGTGAGGCATTAAAAGTCAGTATAGTAAGGTATAAAAAGTCATAGTATAGTAAGGCATAAAAAGTCATAGTATCGTGAGGCAGAAAAAGTCATGAAAAAGTCACAGTATAGTAAGTCATAGAAAGTCATGAAAAAGTCAAGGTATAAAAAGTCATAGTATCGTGAGGCAGAAAAAGTCACAGTATAGTAAGTCAGAAAGTCATGAAAAAGTCAAGGTATAAAAAGTCATGAAAAAGTCATAGTATAGTAAGTCATGAAAAGTCATAGTATAGTAAGGCATAAAAAGTCATGAAAAAGTCATAGTATAGTGAGGCATAAAAAGTCATGAAAAGTCATATTAAGGTTTGAAAAGTCAGCATAGTCAGGTAAGTCATAAAAAGTCATAGTATAGTGAGGCATAAAAAGTCATGAAAAAGTCATAGTATAGTAAGGCATAAAGAGTCATGAAAAAGTCATAGTATAGTAAGGCATAAAAAGTCATGAAAAAGTCAGTATAGTAAGGTATAAAAAAGTCATAGTATAGTAAGGTATAAAAAGTCATGAAAAAGTCATAGTATAGTAATGTATAAAAAGTCATTAAAAGTCATAGTATAGTAAGGCATAAAAAATCATAGTAAAGTAAGTCAAAAAGTCATGAAAAGCCATAGTATAGTGAGACAGTCATAGTATAGTAAGGTATAAAAAAGTCATAGTATAGTAAGGTATAAAAAAGTCATAGTATAGTAAGGTATAAAAAAGTCATAGTATAGTAAGGTATAAAAAAGTCATAGTATAGTAAGGTATAAAAAAGTCATAGTATAGTAAGGCATAAAAAGTCATGAAAAGTCATATTAAGGTTTGAAAAGTCATAGCATAGTCAGGTAAGTCATAAAAAGTCATGAAAAAGTCATAGTGAGGCATAAAAAGTCATGAAAAAGTCATATTATAGTAAGGCATAAAAAGTCATGAAAAAGTCATAGTATAGTGAGGCATGAAAAGTCATAAAAAAGTCATTGTATAGTAAGGCATAAAAAGTCATGAAAAAGTCAGTATAGTGAGGTATAAAAAAGTCATAGTATAGTAAGGCATAAAAAATCATAGTAAAGTAAGTCAAAAAGTCATGAAAAGTCATAGTATAGTGAGACAGTCATAGTATAGTAAGGTATAAAAAGTCATGAAAAAGTCATAGTATAGTAAGGCATAAAAAGTCATGAAAAGTCATATTAAGGTTTGAAAAGTCATAGCATAGTAAGGTAAGTCATAAAAAGTCATGAAAAAGTCATAGTATAGTGAGGCATAAAAAGTCATAGTATAGTAAGGCATAAAAAGTCATGAAAAAGTCAGTATAGTAAGG